ACGCATGGAAAGAAAACTTTTGCTGAAGTATCTAAAAATTTAACTAGATACAGATCTAAAAAAAGTTTTGTTTGAATCATCAAAATAATTTTAGGACACTCAAACTGATTGTTAGAATGTCAAAAATTTTTGCAGCATTACTCTCTCTCTCATTATATAATAATTTCAATAATCCAACAAAATTATTTGATTATCACAGATCTGGTTAAATAATTCAGCAAAATCGTTCATTCCGTATAGGAGGAGCAAATTTCATCCATTCTTTTACATATCGAAAGCGCGCTAAAGAATACGACGCGAAAATTATGTCTGAGAGATTACATTTTAAAATTACACTAAATTACACCGCCGCAATTACGCCGCCGATCACGGTGGCATACTTGCAACGAGAAAAAAAAGTTTATATCGGGCAAACAATATTAGTGAAACAGTAATTTCAGAGCAGCTTTCCACAGGTAGCTTTCCAATTATTAAACGTGGCTCGCTTTTACTCGCGAGAAAGATGCGAAGTTCGATTCGTGGAAGCGACAGCAGTCAGCTATTGTTAGCTAGAGAATTTTTCTCGCGTCGTTTTGCAACGGCAAAACGATTATTCGTGTGACGTCTGCGCTGCGATATCGATCGCGGGGCAAAAATCGCGGGTCAAGGACGATTGAACGAGCGAACGTGAACCTACTATCGCATAATAAATCGATCGATTAATAAAAGCGACATGAGTTGCTTTCAGCGGTGGTTGATCTGGAGCAACGATCGCCGTAAGAACAGGTACTTGTTCTTCTAAATCTGCAAAAACTATCTGCGCACGATCGTGTGAAAATCTATTTCTCCACTGCGAGGTTTGAATAGAATAACCCACAACTTTTACGAGGCACTTATGTAAAAGACACGAATGCAAGCAATCGCAACTTTTCAAATGTAGGCCAACTGCCAATTGTCTCACGTGCGCAGCGACTGGAATACAGTTAACGTCTATCGTAATGCACGCCGTTAGAGAACTGTCAATGCATCATACGGAAAGAATGATTTTGCTGAGGTATCTAAAAATTTACGACACAGATTTGAAGATAATTTAGAATAATAAAATAATTATGTTGAACACTCAAGCATAATAAATAATGCTGCAAAAAAACATTCTAGAAACCAGCTTGAGTATCCTAAATAATTGTTAGCGTTTTACTTGTATATTTGAGTCTAAATAATTCTTTTGACAAAACTATTTTCAACTCTATATCTAGCTAAATTTTTAGATACTTTAGTAAAATCGTTTTTTTTTTTCATGCATAATACGCTTTGCTGTAAAAGAAAAGTCGGAGAAATTTTGTGAATAATATTGAATAATATTGAATAAAATTATTACGCGATACAAGTACGTGAATGTTTGAATATCATTCTTAGCGCTTCGAATTTATGTTAGGCCGCATATTGCGATCAATATTCCCATGCGAAAAGCAATCGGAGAGATCGCGCCGTTTTAGCGAAGCGAATCGAGAGATTCGAGTCGAGCGCGAAGTTACAACGAATCGATTTCTTCGCCGGCTATTATCCATTTTTCCTCAAGACCGAGTAAAAGTTCCTTCTCCGTGTTTGCGTCCACTTGTAGCCGCCACCTTTTCACCAGGACATTTGCCAATCGTCGTCGTACGTGCGCTAACGCGGCCCGGACGTTTTCACAAACGCCAATTAGCGTTGATCATTGATTGGAGAAACCGCTCCCGGCATTAGCAACATTAGTTAAGTTTCTATTAAGATTCTAACCTATTTGCAAAACCATTCGCACAATTTGAGAAACATTAGCGATTCTGAATAAATCATGTGATTAATACGCGATGCGCGATCGACTCCTGATAATTGAAGAGAGACGGACCAACAAATGCGGACATGAGGGCGTGTGTAACATGGGATTGCGTTATTTCGACCAAAACTTGGTGCAAAACTCGGAGTAAAATACAAGAAGACATACAGACTTATAAAACGAGTATGTACGTAAACGTAGAAAGTGAAAACATCTTGTCCTCGTTATGGAGGAACGCACGCAAAAGATAATTGACGCGCGTTTGCATTAGAAGAGAGCAGTACAGCTGCGCCGAGGCATTAATTTACGGAAAAAGACTATCATTTCGTGCCACGGCTCTCAACATATACACACGTACTTTCGACGCGTGACAAATCAGCTGATCGTGGTCTGAGAGCGAGTTCGCGAGATAGAGATCCTCAAGTAAGAGATTGTGAGCGCCGAGTGGTTCACCGCTCAGTGTGATTGACTCGCGATCTGCGGATCCGGGTTCGATCCCACTTGCGCCCCATATACGCGATTTTTCGCGTTCGCCAATTTTCCGAATTCGGTGTTAAACTGTTAGGCTCTCTCGAGTGTTGACAAACACACACTCTGTAGAGTGAAATTCTACTACTACCAGATTGAAACATAAGCAAGTTTAGCCCCTGCCCCCGAAGGGGCTACAAAGCTAGAATTGATACAGTGGTACTGTGACTCACGAACAAGGTCGAAAAACCATACAGGGGATTTGAAGAAGAAAAAGAAATAAAAGGGATTAAATACACACACATTTGGTATGCTGTAATTTTCAGAGAATCTGCTTAAGACAGAATGAGATAAATCATGCATCTTTTAAGGTCCTGAAAAACATAGCACACCAAATGTGTTTATATTTAATCTCTTTTGTGGATCTCTTATAGCACTAATCAAAAGTTGTCTGAACGGTGTCCAATCTCTTGCTTGAGCATTTCTAGTGTATGCGGGAAACGCACGCTCGGAGCAAAGTGTTGTCAAAATCGCGTAGGTTATTAAAAACCGCAAGATATGACGTGGAAAGGAAGGGATCTATTCATTGCCGGGTATTTCTCTCTTATCGGATATCCCTTACAAATCATCGATAAGTTTCACGCGTGACTTATTAACCTTTTGCTTGTGATCGGACTCGAGACTTCCGGCTAACGGTGAACATATTCGTGAATATTCCGCAATATCGTGTTCTATATCAATCGCGTCAGAGATTTATGACCGTAACGCACGATACCATTCCGTCCGCAAACCATAACGTTACGACATTATGCGGGAAGAAGCTACCGCAAAATATTTACCTCTCTTGCACCATCAGAAGCATCGGTCATTGATCTTTGTGTCTTCGGATTACAGATACATTTTCTTTTATTTTATAACGAGAATTTGATCGGGTTAAAATAATCTTGAGGCTGAATTTGCAAATCATAAAGCGGCGTCTCATCTACAATGAGAATTTAAATTGAAATTAAATTTTAAGCATAAGCTTTAAGCTCTAAGCTGTAAGAAGTTGTCCTCACATTCGACTGTGAATGGTCAATTTTTCATGGCTTGACGCTTAAGGGGATCCTAAAGTCGTATGATTTACCGATTTAGCAGGATTTACTCACGTACGATTTACGTGTCATTGACCCATCACTACACATATCAGTATCGCACGCACACAACCTACATACAAATTTTCTAACTAATCTTTTATATTAAGAATCTAAACCTAATTTTCTAACAATTCAGTATTGTTTGTTCTCGTAATCTCTAGTCTAAATCAAGTTGTTTTATATGTATGAAGTATAAAATTTGTATGTAGGTATATAAAGCAAATATTATTACAAATCGACGTCAGAAGTCGGTAACAAAACTGTAATTTTCCAACTTTTTTTCATTTTTGACATAAAGTCAACCGGTTTGGTTTATACTTTAATTGTGGAAGAGGACTTTTAAATCTATATAATATGAAGGCAGTTAGAAAAATAGTATAATACTTATTTGAAAAATAATCGGTAAAGCAAGTGACAGTAGGATCCCTTTAAGGCTTAAGTTTTACGCCTTAAAATATCATTGTAAGACGCATGCTACGTAATGCAACAACTGTACAATAATATTGGTACTTTCGACAGCGCGATCGCGAGCGTTAATCATGCAATCATTTTTCTGCAATTGCCTCGTGAGTCAATCGTTTCTCAGTTGTGCATAACGCATAATGACGCTTCTCCGCTCCTAGAAATTCCTCTTTACGGATCGAGCAACAATGGGGTTCAGCTCACGTAGTCTGCTTCGAAGGCGAGCGAATCTCGAGAAAGAGTGCGTCCCGAGAGGGCTGCAAATACGCGACAAAAAGAGAAAGAAAGAGAGAGAAAAAGACAGACAGACAGACAGAGAGAGAGAGAGAGAGAGAGAGAGAGAGAGAGAGAGAGAGAGAGAGAGAGAGCTCGTAGATAAAGAACTCGTGGACGAGCAGGCGTCGACGTGCACGCACCAGAATAGAAAAAGGGGTCGTGCTCAAGAGTCGTCTGTTGTGCGAGCGTGAGTTGAGTGTTTGCTCGTCGATGAATCGTTTTATCGAATGCGAAATAAGAGCAGAGATTTGCTCGATAAGATCGGCGAATCTTCGAAACTGCAACAAGGCCAAAGCGAAAGTTCGAACATGCGTGTGTATAATTTTTAACAATTATTTTTATAAAAACATAATATATAATTGCTTTTTATATTTACACAAGAGATACTGAGTTTAAAAAAATATGTATTTTATACTCGGATAATGACATCATTACTTGCTTACTTTGGTGACAAAGGTATCGCATAACAGCACAGGATTATAATCTCACTTTTAATGCGAGTTAACAAGACTCAGTAAAGCATTACAGTTTCAAGCTTGTGCACGTGTAGATAAAAATTCAGTTAAATCTCATTTGTCAGAATGCAAAAGGAACATGAGACATGACGTCACAAATGAGAATTATTCGAGTTTTGTAAATGGAAGGCAAATATTTTTTCCCTACGTCAATCAAGGTAAATCAACTTTGTACCTTTGTGATGCATTGCGACGCAATAAACATATTATGCGACACGCTCGCTCGTCAGATAAGAAGACCGCATTATGTCCCACCGCTCGAAAAGACTCGTCATCGCTTTCGAAAATTTCTCCCTTTCCTCCAGCATATAAACTCGCTGCGTACAACATCGGACCTCTCCGATTGGGAGGTCGGCCATCGGAAGGACGTGCGAGCGCAGAGTGAAACAGAGAACTTTCACGGCCACGGGCCCGACCTGGTCACTCGGTACCATGTGTATAGGGTTGAGCAACCGAGGAAAAAATGGGACCAGTGGCAAGGAGGAGCAGCCACGGCAGTCTGTGCCGTGAGAGCGGAATCGACTATAAAAAGGAAACAGGTTATCGAATTAAAGCGATTCCAGCCGTCCAAGCGATACTGAACAGCCTGAAGGTACATAATTTCTATCCTGAGGCCAATCTTTGGCGGGATATATTCGGAAGCAACGGTATTATAACGAATTCGCGCGATTCCATGCGAAAGTTCACACGTTCACGAGAAATAAATTTTACTTCGCACAAAAAAAAGATTTGTTAAAACAACTAAAAACTTCACTGATTTAGCAAATCTACACCCGTAATATACGGACAGACAATTTTCTATAATATGTTAAAATAGCAAAGTTATACAACTGAATAAAATTAACGTTTATTAACATATTTGTTATAATAGCACAGCAAATTTATTAATACAAAGAAATAACTTTCTATGAAAATCAACAATCCAAAATATAAAGTTTATTTTTATCCTGCACACTAGAACTCTCTTTCTTTCGGAATATCAAACATATACCTATCTTACTTCAGGTTCCAAAAGTGTATACTAATTCAGCCATGCTGAAAAGAAATATAGTCAATTTTAATAAATTGAATACTGCCAACTAAATATTTATTAAATATAAAGATATATTTATTTGATACAAAAAACATTAATTTGATTTAACAATCATTCTTTTTACTGAACAAATATTTATTTACTGTAAGTAAATGTTTAGTTGGCAGTATTGAACTAAATATTGACTATATTTCGTTCTCAGTGCACAGAAAACAGACCTATGGATCAAAATTTTTAATAAAACACACTAAGTAAGATGACGCATACTTTTATACTATACTGCAATGAAGAAAACTTGTAACTAGCAATTTTCATTGTAGCAAAGAATTAACTCAATTGGCATACTGATAATTAGTTACAGACATAATTTCTTTGTTAAACCATCAAATCTTTTTAGTTATAGATGTTGAACTTACGCAGCAAGCTATAACTCTGCTGAATCACTCAATCTATTTTTTTTCCATGCATCTCTCGCAATTAATTACATAAAACACACATCCTCTATATTGAATGGCAACGTATTAAGTCTCTCTCGTGCCAAGTCTCGTGTGATTTAACTGCGCTGCATTGCTCCGTTATTCTAGCTTCGTTCGAGGTCTCGCTCGTCTCAGCGACGATGTTCAGGCAAACAAGATCTGTCACGCACGAAGCGCATTCTTTCGTCTCGAGGCGAGGAAAAATTTCTGCCGCGGCCTGGAAAAGCGGCGCGCTCGTGACTGTATCGACGATCCCGCGCGGAGATTCTCACTCGCATCGTTTTCCACATCGCGATAAGATCACGATAATCGTATCGGATTGTAAACTTACGGCGGCGCCGTCGTTACCCAAGATAACGCAGCGATACTGCGACACCCGGTTTCAGACCGGACAATTAATCTACCTCTTCTTTTTGTACGGAAATAGGGCCAGGGACCATTCGAAGCATCCACGTGGCCACGTGGCCACGCGTTAGAAACGCACGTGCACGCGCGTGATCCCCCTACCCCTCGACCTCCGTCGCTCGATACTGTGAGTTTTTGGTTAACGTTCTCACCGTGTTAAGTATAGATGTTATCTCGCAGGCACTGCTATCTTCTCAAATAATCGATCCGGGGTAAATTTAGCAGAACGGAGATACAGTGAACCGTCTGATAAAATAAATCTGAATACATTAAAATGTTATATCAAACTCGTATCTGCGATACGTTAAACAAATTAGGAGAAAGTATCGCGCTCTCTACGTGTACAATTCCTCTTAATCTTTGGATTATCGCATTGGCTTATCTCAAAAATTTTGCGCAATTGCAAATCTCTTACGATCAAAATGTTACGATATCCGATGAGTCTTTTAAATTCTGAGAAAGCGAGGAACGAAAAGAGTGATTCCACTTTCGTCATCGGGCTCAAACGAAAGAGTCGTCTGCTTGATTTTTCGATCTTCTCGAAGCCCCTATGGTCGAGTCTTACCATAGTCTTTTTCCCTCCTGCCGAGGGAACGGGCTCGTCTCTTTATATTTAGAACATAGACGACGCGCGAAGCGAATGTTAATCTTCGTCGAGCAATCCCGTTGTATCTCCGTGTGTGTGAATCTCTCTCTCTCTCTCTCTCCATCTTTCTGTCTGTGTGTACGTCGCACGAAATCGATCGCATCTAATGGATAATTCATCGTCACAGATTGAATCGCAAGGCTTCATAATAGATACAATAAAGATGATACGCTATCAAAGCTATCCCGCACTAACAAACGCGGGAGCACTTTTATAAGGACAAAGTATGAGTTTCAAGCTTTAACAAGGTTATCGTTGCGAGTACGTAGCTCTATCGTCGAGATAAAAATGTTACTTTAATTTCTACGAATCGAACATTATCATTTACGAATGTAATTTGAGATAGAGAATATATAGGTAACGGATTTGTCGTTGCTTTGAATAATATATATAAATTATATAATATATATAATTAATAATATATATAAATTATACAAATATTATGAAAGGAGAGAGAGAGAGAAGAAAAAAGTTCTATTTTTGAGAAACATATGTTGTCGATAATTATAGCGATAATCTATAATAATTTAAACATGATTTCGACAAACGGGATTTTCTCATTGTCGAGAAACCTTTCAGGTTTCCGCATCTTCAGCTTCAGCGAACAATGTGGCGCAGTTTCTCTACGTTTGCAGTGGAAGTCCATTGTCCGTTTGTCAATGCGAGATACACCATGCGACGAGCAACGTTATGATTAGCTCACGTTGCACTCCCTGCAGCAACGCGGTGGCACGTTTATACCTGTTGAAGATTGTGCCGCAGTTATTGTGAACGGAGATTTTCGCAACAGGGGGGTTCTTGAAGAAAAGAGATCCGCAACGATATTATTCATCGGAATAAAAAAAATGTGACAAGAACGCATTTAATTTTCTTCTCTGAAACATTTTTCCTCCCTTTTTTTTTTCCTCTCCGTCTCTTTCACAAAATGTAGATTCGAGAAAGAATGCGTATACCTGGACAATTTTCCCATGACTTGATAAACTGAAAAAGCTGTCTGTGTCTCTGCAAACACGCAACTGCCGCGACGTCGAGGGAACACCTACACGCGAAGCTGGGTGAGAGAGAGAGGAACTGAACGTGAGACTGCTAGACGAACGCGCCTGCCAACGTGAATGCATCTGCATTCGCGTTGAATGAGGTTAACGTTAATGAGGCGCAAACATCTCCAGACGCGGGCGCAGCAGACCTTCCCTTTTATTCCCACCCCATATAGCCGCCGGTAGCCCTCCGAGAACCGTCGTAAACGCGCACGGCTGTACGCGCATGCATTTTCTTTCCCCTTCGACCGACCGTCCGGTCGTCTCGCTCGGTCTGTGACGATGCACACGCGTGCTTATTCGCGGAAAAAAAATGAATACTGCCGCTTCCGAGAAGCATCGAGCGATTCGGTAAAGTTCAGTACTGGTACTTTCCAGCAAAAGACAGTGTAAGGTTACAGACCGCCGAAGACACAGAGCATGGACTGCGCCATTCGTATCGAAATAGTATATTAAATGCGATCAACAAAAACGAGAAAGGAAGCATCAAAGACGGTCAATCAATCTCCCTCTCTTTTTTAAAATACTGTAATTGATTGAATAGAAAGAGATAGAGACTGATCGTCTTCGACTTCGCGTCCTATCTCTCTTATTTTTGTCGACCAATTTTACATAAGGATGGTGCATTCCGTGCTCTATGTCTTTGATGCAGACACAATAGAAGGAACAAGGAATTTCAACTTATCAAATCGAATGCAGAATACACATTTCCGATACGTTGAAATCATTATTCCTTCTTTTGTGTCTGCACCAAACAGTAATCATTTCACTTTGTTTAGGATTGGTAAGGATGTAATGATTCACGGTGTCATCTGTGTCTTTGCTGGAAAACACCCAATATCGCGCATCGTTTGTAAATTCCCACACGTGCTCGCGTTTGTTTATGTGCGTGTATCGAGCGAGTAAAAATCCGTGTAGACCAAGCAGAGGTCACAAGATCGACTTGGGTGTTTATGTTCGACCGGCACCACAACGACTTCTAGTCAACTGACAAAAGAAGTCGGTCAACGGAACTGCGTTTTAGCATTGTAGCACAATAACATCCGGCTAGTCATTAGAATTAGAATAAAACGTATGAAACAAACGAGATATCGTATTCACCTCTTTGTCATGTATCGTCATGCATATCGATCCTCCTGGTCGAAAGAGTGAAGTTAAATAAACCGATTAAAAAATGTACGACCAACGTTGTGTGCAACATGTTGCTTTCGGAGACACGCGATCCTTACACGTAACACGAGAGAACCTGGGCCTCCATTCTGTAACTCTTAACGCAAGTTTCGTTAACGTTATAACGTCGTTGCGCAGCTTTTTTTTCATGGTAAAAAAACTGCGTAACGACTTATAACGATAACGAAATTGCGTTAAAAATTACAGAATAGCCCTGCAGTCCCTGTAACGACTGCATAACGAATTACAGAATTCCACTGCAGTAGAGCTATTCTGTAACTTTTAACGACAGTTCGGTATCGTTACATTGTCGTTGAGCAGCTTTTTCATCGTGTAAAATACCTACGCAACGACATCCCTAGCTAGTAAAATTGTCGTTAAAAAGTTACAGAATAGGCCTACTGGGCTTGGATCTTCTCACGGCAACCACGGCATCGATCTCGCGAGATCGACCAGACGACGTTGTCCTAACATATCGTTACTTTAGGCTGCCTGTCGAGCACCCAGCATTCGTAGTACTTACTCCATAGAGAGACTTAAGCTTCACGTGGTTGAGCGCGGGCACATCCACCATAGAGCACTTGAGTAGAATCGTGGTAGTTTGGCTGGGCATCCTTGTTGCTTTGCACTTGTCACGTGGAATGGACTGTTGTATCGCTGCTACTACTATTGCTCCGACTATCGATCACCGCACTGATAATACGGGAGACGTTCATTGGCAGTATTGACACGGGGCCGCGTGAAAATTACGATATCCAAATGCAGTGAAATGCAATTATACGATACGAATACACGAAATACGAAGGAATCGACGTACCGGGGAGGTTCCGACGACGCGATAAATAATAAAAAAAAAAGGGCAGTGTCACGGCAGTGGAATTTGCAGAATTGCAGCGCAAGACCAGCCTCGATCTCTCGTGCTCTTTTCGTCGCGAACGCGTTTTTTTTTTCTTTTCTTCCCCCCGAGTGCGAAGGGCGAAGAGAGCTCGTGAGCGAGAGCTACCGCGATGTACTCGCTCTCCCGCTTGACTGAGTGACTGACTGACTGACTGGTTTTCACTCACTCACAACACAGTATCCCGTGTGCGGGAATCGTGACCACCCGTCCCATCCCACCCGTGTACATTTCCTTATCCCCACCGTCCAGTCGTCGCGGCGTCGAGCGCCAATCGCCGCCGCCGAGAGAGCGCACGCACACGCGTGTCGTGGACCACGCGTGTGGAACAGCTGCTGCGCGGGCGCTCGTGTGTGCGTGCGTAGGTTTTACTTCACACGCACACTTGTCGTCTCTGCGTGCATGTGCGTGCGCATACGAGAGAGAAAATTGAATCGATCAATGGGAAAGGGTGTATCTGCCGAGATAATGAGACCTTTTTTGTTTTCTTTTTTTTTCCCCCAAGAAACGTGGGAAAAGGCTTTGAGCGTTTTTTTGCGTAATTTCCTGTAAAAGTCGATAACGAAGGGACATGATAAATCACGTCGTGATTTACAACGGAGGAATCGGATGTGCATGAGGAATGACACTTGAGACAACAGACGGCGGTGTTTAACACGTCAAAACAAAGAGCCTATCTCAAGCGGTGTAAACAGTATAAATCCGAACGCCATAAATTATCCGACTGAACAAATCGCAAAGAAACGTATCGGTATCTTCGCCGGTTGCCCGTACAATTTCCAGCGTTTCTATTGCATCGTGACCTCACTGTTATGATTTATAACTATCGCGAGGGAGTATCCTTCATACTCGCGACTATCTCGCCATATGAGGAGCATACGGACGCAAAACGAATGAATCGACCAGTTGCACGTCGTGAACAAAAAGTCGCCTGATTTACTTTCACTCTTATCTGTCGTTACACTCCCCGCGAACTGACGTGTGGAAATTGCAGATTTGCGCGGCGACTCACTTCCGCCTGGTTTTCAAGAGTCAATGAAACGCGAGGCGAATGCGCTCGTAAAACCTTGAAAACTGTGTTCTTCGAACAGGAATAATTTTCTCGCGCCATTAAAAAAAAAAACATGTTGAACAAACAAAAATCACATTAAAGATATTTTTATGGAAAAATGATACATTTGTAGCTCTCCCAACAAATAGAAAAACTTTAATAAGGAACAAAATTGACACTAGAATTGCAATGTTTGAATTTAGAAAACTCATTACATAATTTTGAAGAATATTTTATAATTAAAAATATAATGTGAAAAAAGTGAAGTTATGCATGTTCATTATTTTAGTTAAAACGTTCCAAATCAAAATTTTAAAACTGTCCTACAGAAAAGTTGCTATTTTTGAGATGTATCACTTTTCTATCAACGGCCGAGCAATATATTTAAATAAATATAGACATAATAGTATTAAAATTAATAATTATGAATTATTTAAATGCAATAGTTAAACAATTATAATTCAAATTAACAATTTAAAGAACACACGCGCGAATAAAGGAAGGAGTTGTAGATGAAATACGAATGAAATAAAGTTGCAGGAAACTTGGAACGATATCTCACGATGTAGCTACATCGTAATCGTGCCACCGTCGTGGTCAGGATCAACTTGTCAAGGTAATGTCCAGCGGTTAAGACGCTCTGCTTTACCTCAGTAAAACCACAACGGATGAAAACCACAGATTTCTCGATCGCGTGAGGACAGATCTTCGTTGCTGCTGTCACAGCAGCAGCAGCAGATGAGTAAGTTTTTCACGTTGGTGTTGCGAGCGCGTGTCTCGTGATACTTATCTTGATTTCGTGCTCCGTCTGTGAAATGTCGGCTGCCAGTCTGTTACGCAAGTCTGTTGCCGCGGCCTTTAACCTCGGGCAGGGTCAAGCGCCAGCGAATTGACACCTCATTTAGCGTCTTTGGAAGGATTCCCAGTTAGACACTTCATGATAATGAAAAAGCCGTAAATTTACCGCTCGAGACAATTAGCTTTAGTTCTTTCAGTCCCAGTGTGCTATAATTTCTTAGTTTAAAAATGATATACTATCTATAGATACGAGTTTTTAAATAGATTTGCACTAAGAACCTGCGTTATATATACTCTTTTATTATTGACTTACAAGAGAAGTTTCACAACTGTCCGGAACCGATTTGATTCTCCATGAAATATGTTGTTAAACACGAAAATCTAAGAGAGAGACACGTATTTTTTTATACGTTCGCTAACTCATGTTTAAGGGGTGAAATACCCCTTTGAAAAAAAAAAGGTATTTCTATTTCGAGCCAAATACCGGAAGTAAAAGATGGAAAAAAATTTGTTAAACAAAAGTTGTACAGTTTCAAGAGTACTTTAATGTTGTGAACAAAAAAAATTCTTTTAATTTTTTTGTTTAACAATTGTTAACAAAAAAATTTTTTTTTCTTCACAACATTGAAGTACCTACTCTTGAAACCGTACAACTTAGTTTAACAAATTTTTTTTCATCTTTTATACTTCCGACGGTATTCGGCTCGAAATAGAAACAGAAATACGTTTTTCTTCAAAGGGGTGTTTCACCCCTTAAACATGAGTTAGCGCACGTATAAAAAAATATGTGTCTCTTAGATTTTCGTGTTTAACAACATATTTTATGGAGAATCAAATCGGTTCCGGACAGTTGTGAAACTTCTCTTGTTAGTTCAGAAAGCCTCTATCTTATATAGTT